ACTTTCACACTATCATTCTGTATTATTAAATTAATATAAGAATAGAGTTATTAAAATATTCATTAAAAATGCTATTTTTTTAAACAATAAAATAGATAATGTGTCACGCCAGAATCATGAAAAACATTCTATTCTTCCGTCTTTAGAATTAAATAAATATAATTTGAAACAATAAAAATATAAATTACGATAAGAAAATTACAATTTGAAAATATTTGTTATTTCTTTAATTAAATTCAAATGTATAGTTTCCTTCTATGAACGATTTATTACAGTAATGTGCAACCTTTCTTCGATGAGACACTCGTAGGCTTTCTGCGGCCTCATGCATTTTTTTCTTATGGAATTGCAGGATTTAAGACTGATGACTAACATACTCCATAATCGCCAGTACACTGGATACTAAATGAATATGTGTTAATGATATTTTTTGTATTTTTTCTTAACTCTTACGCCATATTGGCACTAAGAGGGTTTAATCATTTTACTACTCGAGTTTAGTTTGAATGTTCTCTGTCACGAATATCAGCTTAATTAAGGTTGCATAATGGCACGAGACAGAAAACAGGAAAATAAAATTACGTTGCCAAAGCCCAGGAGGTCGCATATTAGGACCTCATGGGTCGCGAGTTGCTCATGACTGATCTAATAAATCATAAAGGTTTTAGTTTCACTATTTATTTGTTTTGCAATCTAAGCTGAATTATTTTATTATTAATAAGAAAGCGAAATATAATGAAATTTGCATAATATATAAATATAATATAACAAAAGTTTTAGATAAGTTAGCAAGTATATAAACAAATTCTTGTAAAATAAGTAAACGAGAATTCAATAAGTAAAAAAGGAAGGTTTTATAAATCATGTAACAATACATTTTACAGTATTATTACTCTACGATTTTACAACTCAATTTGTAGTATTAACTATTACAGATACATTTCTTAATTATAGTAAAAATTTCGCTTGTAAAATAACTCCTATCTCTCGACTTTCAATTAGAAGAAAGAAAATGAGTTTTTAATATAAAATAAAGGTGGTTTTTTATTTTAATTTTCTAAAATTTACTGTATGGTTTCTTTATAATAAAGCTAACGTAAGACAAGATTAAAAATTTTCTTTCCTTATTAATCGTTAAACAAATTAAAATAATTATGTAAAGTATGTAGAACATAAAGTTTACGATATGTTTCTTATTTTATATTTAAACAAAATTTTAAGGAGTTTTACACGAACACTAAGATCAAGCCATTATATTTACGTAGAATTTAAACGTTATATTTTATTTCGAATAACATAAAAAATAGCATTTTATTATTAAAAATAGCCGTAGAGAAAGTATAAATTTAACAGTGAATTACGTAAGATGTAATAAATGTTTAAATATATATAAATAAACGTAAAATAGCCGAAAGATGGCTTCAAATAAAGCACCTTACCATCGAGAAAAATCCATCCAAATATATGTTCTCCACCTCAAATTAGTACTGAACTATCTTGCTCCTGTACAGTACGTTTTTTTTCATTTTGTTTTTCATCATACGTTTCCGTCTATGTAACGCCTTTCAAGGGAAAATGTTTGAATTGAAATAACGTGATATCCGGTTTGTATTGGAATTTCACATATAGCTAATCGGACCTCCTGTCCCTAAACTTTCCATATCTGGTCTTGAATTTTATTTTGCTAACAGAGTTCTCGAGATTAAGGAAAGACAGACAGACAATAGTAGGAATTTGTGTCTACATTTTTTTTCAAATTGCAACCCAACAAATTCATTTCCGCTTTAAATGTCTAATGACCGATTACTCCATGTTGAAAGAAGGTTGAAAATTTCCTTTAGCTGTTAAAATCACAGAGTTCAATTTAAAGATTCACAATTTGTGGAAACTCAGTTCCTCCACAAGCTCTGTATGGCATCAATCAATTAGCCAGTATTATCATTAGCGAGAAAATTAAAATTCATACTCTTAGTTGTAGTGTACTATTATGTAATCTTGCCCTATACATAGCGGAGCAGTTGCGTTAAAAGAAAGAGCTTCCGACATTCTTTTCTATAATGTTTTTGTTTGAAACGCTGAACATGTTGGACGCCCACTGGTGGCCCAGGGGTCTTCGTACCAATGGGTTCGCGCTTCGCTTGGACGGGCTGGCCACGTGGAGTTTTCCGGGTTTTCTCCACGTCTGTAACGCCTAAATAGGGGCCAGTTTCCCTTAAAAAGACCTCCCTGGAGGCATCCCCCTAGGCAGATCGACCCAAGTGTTGCGTTGCCATAACTTAACAAACTGAACATGTTGGAACAAGTATGAACTGAGACAGCCGGATGGTATGAATTATATTCAGACAAATTTTGGCTTATAGCGAGCAATCACAACTGAGGCACGATGGCTATGTCTTGTTTTTAAGGGAATTTTCTATTTTTTCCAAGAGAACATTTAAAAATCACACTGAAGCATTCTAAAGTACTGAAAAAACTTTTCGTCATCGTCCATCAGTTCCCTGAAAAGGTTCCAGTATTCTTCGAGAATCTTCCTTTCCTTTAACATTATTTAAACACATGACAACAATGTTTTACTTTCTCGTTATCTTCATCCAATACATAGTAGTGCTACTAAACATAAATCTTCAAATAATAAATGGTTAAAATTCGAAACAGTCACAGTCTGAAAATCTGAGTGTGTTGTTTGTATGGAAATCGCCCGCGTATGAAAGAGTAGTGGGAATTTAAACTTATGTCGAATGATGTCGTTGTCAGAATGATACCGTTACGTACAGTACCTACAGCTACAGTATAAATAGGTCTTTAGTCATGTTGAATGATCTTTACATTGATTAGATCTGGTTATATGGAGTATAGTAGGATGTTATGCAAAAACTGCTAAAAAAATTAACATTCTGCATTTTTATTTAATTCATCATTCTCAATTTACGTTGTATTGTATTAATTGAATTAAAAGATAGGTAATACAAAATGTGCTTAATAGAAAAAAAGTAAATGAATTAATACTTGTGGGACCTCATAACTGGGATTTCTTCAACCAGAATAGTTAAGGATTAATAACAAAAATTTACACACAAGAAGTCAATAAATTTCAATGGAATCGCAAATCGTACCCGAAAGAGCGTACTGCAGCAGTAGTCTTTATGTGGAATTAATTTTATTACTGTTCATTTTTATTTAGTTAGACCTTATTATAAAATTGAAATTACAGTTATACTCCAAGACCAAACAGTTTCGCAGAAATTTGATTTTGTTTTCGTTTTAGGGGTGTTGATGCCATAAACCGTATTGTAGTTAAATTTCCAAGTAATTGTTATACGGTGTGTTTATCACCCATAAAGTATTACAATTTAACCTTTAATTGTTATATAGCAAGTGTAACTGATTGCCCAAAATCGTTTTTTTTTTTTTTTTTTTTTTGGAAATAATCCGTATAAACTACGTTCGATCGTCATAAGTACGGATGTTCTAAACCTGGGAATGCCTTACATGGTTACAATCATTGTAAATGAAAAATAACGTAAATGAATAGAAATTATGATCTAATAAATTAGACTTTTTACATTTATTCAAAAGAAGAAAACAAAAAGCAAAAGAGAGGACTACCACTCCCGGGCCTCAAACAAGCGCTAGATGATCCTGCTCACGTAGCAGGCTGTAATTTATATTGCCTCGATATTTTATCTTTCGACATTTTGGATGATTCGACATTTAATCTTTCGACATTATATTTTCGACATTCTACCTTTCGCATTGTGAATGTCACCGCTGACATACAAACTTGGCATGAGGAAAGACTGTATTGTACTATGATTCAAAAGTACAGACCGAAATCCTTTCATAAAATTCAAATTTAAGTCATATAAAGTTTTAGCGTTACACTTTTTGGAAAAGTTATCATATATTTAAGTCAGAAAACTGTTGAATATCTTAAAATATGAATAATAATAACAAAAACATTAAGTACAGTATATGCTCATGAATTGATTTGTATCAATTTATAATATGAAGAAAGAATTTCGCTTCAGTTTGTAAGTATTATATATCTACAACGTCTTATAATTAGTATAATCATTGAAAGTTTTTTCATTTTTTTCACTTTTTTGCCTGTGGGCATTAAGAAAATCTTTCTAATCGTGCACAACATTGGTTTGGCCAGGCATACAATTGAGGCATTGATGAGGGATGGCCCGACGCATCCAAGACAGATTCACGGGAATTGTTCGTCCGCCGCTCATCCATTTTGAAAAAATTACAGAAATTTCTCTTATTACTGTATTTTGAAATTTTCTAGCAAAATAATTTGACGAATCGTTTAACATGTCGAATGAATTATTGTTTGTAAACTAGTTCGTATTGCTTTTAAATCTGTGTCATCTCTGTTATCATTGTCATATATATATATATATATGACTGTTATCATTACAGACAGAGTATGACAGAGTATATATAGACAGAGTATGACAGAGTATACTCTTTTCGCCCTGTGGGCACTAAGAGGGCCTCTTATAACAGGCCCATTATGGGTTCGGCCAGGCCCACAATGGGGCGACCGGGTGGTGAGGGACGGGGTCCGACATATCCGTACGGACCACCCCCCAAAAATTCCTGGGGATTTTTCGACCCGTTCGGATTCGATCCCGGGTCCCCTAGAGCAGTAGGCTGCCACCTTGACCGCTCGGCCATTCGGCCAGTATCATTGTCAGATTATGATTAATTAGCCATAATCCGATAGTCTTTTAAATTTGTTCTTATATATTTTCAATATAACATCATAAATGAAATTAAAATAAATTTCATTCATTTTCAACTAATATTAATAAGAACTTTTTAAAATTTAAATTAAAAACAGTATTAATATAAAAATAATCGTAGATATTTTATATAAATTATTTTAAAATCGATTAAACCTATTTTATTTGAAATTTACCCTTAAACATAATAATACATCGGTAGAGAGAGAGAGAGAGGTATACGTAAACATAGAGAGTCGTGATGTCTATGAATCAACCGTTCGATTATTATTGCAGGTGGTGCAGGACGGTATAACGGTAAATATTTGCCCCGGTTTGTCATTTATACTCTACAAGATTTAAATTATATTTAGTTAATTATTATTAATAATAATTAAATAATTATTTAAATTACTTGTCTTCTTTATTATTACAGTACTTTTAAATGTATAAGCGTAACGTATAAAGCCGGCTTCTTAGATTTATCCGCAGTGTTTTGGCGCGTTCCATTGATGTCGTCTGCCTACCTGCTTTTTTATAAATCATTTTTTCCCTATTAAAAAAAAATACGTTATAAAACACCTGATTAATATGAATTATTTCTCTCCTGACATTTTCTAATATTATAACAATTGCATTTTTTTATTTTCATACACATGTAAATTGTAAAATGCCTTTATCAACTTGTCAATTTCTATGTGAAATTGACATGTTTCTATAATTATTCAATATCTTTGGATGAATTAAACTTCAAAAATTACCGATTCGGCATGGTTTTTAGTTGAAAATCTTGTTTACTTTTTAATTTTCCGTTGAAATTTACATAAAATTGATCAGTTTATATAATTATTTTATATTTTAAATCAATTTAAATGTTGAAAATTCCTGAATGGTTTTGGTTTTAGTTGGAATAATGTTTTTTTTTTTTTCCCCTTCAATATTTCAAAATTCTCTATAGAAATTACATGAAATTTTTAAATATATATATAAAGTAGACATGTTTCTATAATTGTACTAAAATAAATGGTTTCATATACCTAAAAATGCCACATTACAACTTTAAGTCCTGTTTATTTTTTGTATGATTTTAATATTTCAAATTGTTTTTTTTTTGGTAGAAATTTCTATTTTTAATATATGAAGTAGATAAGTTTCTATAATTATTTCATATTTTAAATGTTAAAAATTTCTGATTTGGTATCAGTTTTAGTTGAAATGTTTTTTTCTTTTGACATTTCAAATTTTCTATAGAAATTGGGAGATTTTTTTTATGTATGAAGTAGACGTATATCTTCTATAATAATTCCATTAAAATATTTTAAATGGTTTCATAAAGCTCTAATGTGACATTTTTAAGTATAAGTCCTGTTTATTTTTTGTATGATTTTAATATTTCAAAATTTTCTTATACAATTCAAAATGTTTGTTTTTTAATATATCAAATAGATAAGTTTCTATAATTATTTTAATGTTTTAGCAAAATTAAGCTTAAAAATTTTTGTTTTGAAATAATTTCTAGTTTTAAATTCTGTTTATATCTTTATAATTATAATATTTCAGACCTATGTATATATATTACATAAAATAGATGATATCAGCTAAAAATGTAATATGTTTTTTTATTTTATATTGTAAGTATAGAAATTTTGCTTTTGAAATTGATTTAGTTATAGATTTAGATGAATCATATGGATTTTTATTGAATTATTTCAATGGGATTATCATAATTTTATAACATTTAATTTNTTATTAGAAAATAATAATAAAATTAATTATATTTTAGTTTTAATACATTTAAAATGTTTACTTAAGTCTACAATATAAAAAATATAAAGAAAGCCCAATGAAAAATTCTTAGTTTTATTTCTTTTAATATTTTGAAGTATATCTGATATATCTTTTTGATTTTAGCTTTTTATTAAAATTTTGAACATAAATATTCATCTATTCCTGGCTTTGATTCTGTTATAAATAGAATAATTACCTGAAAATGAATATATAAATTTGTTTCTATTAAGATAAGATTTCATCTGAAATTAATTAACAATGGGTAAATTGTTATTATATAATAACAGTAATTAGTGAATTAAATTAATAGTGGAAAGTTATAAGAGAAAACATGTTACATAAGTGAAAAAGTCTTGAGTTAGTAGAAAATTTATTTTCTTGGTTTTAAAAATGTAATGTAATCCTTGTTTATAAAAATCACTATTATTATATCCAATGAAATATAATAAATGATTTCAAAATGTAATCTATATTTATTTTTATAAAATTTATGAAATTAACATCTAACAATTATATCAGTCAAATGCTAATATTTAAAAAGTAACTTTATTCTTTTCAATTGATTATAAATGACATTATAAAAATATCATTTATAAAATTTCAAATCAAATAGTGTAATATTTTATTAGTTTTAATGAAATATTCTTTAAATAGTTTTAACTTTATTTATTTTAAGTGCCTTCAATCAGTAAATGTCTTACAGGCACATCAATAGTAATTGTGTTGGAAATATTGATGACTGTAACTTGGGATTAATGAGTATTAGGAGTTATTTTATTTATTTAGTAGCAATTCTGAGTTCTTTTTTCTTAACTTGATATTAGATTACTCTTACTTCTTCCCTTATAACTATAATTAGAATAATAATAATTATTATTATATAAGTGGTTTGAATGATGTTTTTTACAAATTTATATTTAAAGATTATGATAAAATTCACAAAGGTTAACTTATTAATTTAACATTTTACAATCCAAGAGTAAATGAAAATGCTAACTATAGTCAATTTTTAATGAATGTTATGTAATTCATTTACTGAAACTTCATTATATTTTTTTTAGTATAGAATTTATTTTTTAAAGGATTATTATTCATCATGTTACAGATTTAAATTTTTATATGAAATATTTCTTAGAAGAATAATAGCATTTTTATTAAAAAATATTAAATAATCTATGGTCCATTCAATGGACTACAGATTATTTAATATTGTATCATGGATCATTTCGTGGACCAAATAATATGATCCATGAAATGTTTAAAATGTTTGAAGAAATATTTTTTATTTAAAATCTAATTAAATCTATATGCTTTATTGATAGGAAACAATTTATAGATTTGTTTTTTGACATTTTAAGAATCTGAAGAAATGCCTCAACTGTTAAAATAACAATACTAATTTTTTCAGAAGGTAAATAGATTTTAATTACTATTACTATTAGAATAGGTATGCATTAATAAATATTAAAAATTAAAAATACATTTATAACTAAAATATAACTTAGTTAAAAATTAAAAATTTCAGAGTCATTAACATTTTAGTTATTGCAAAGATATATTTACTTTGATATAATATTATTCAATTTATTAAAATATGCATTTATAGCAGATTTTCTGCTATAAACTGTCTATAAAATAATTTATCTTGTCTTTCTATGTTTTCTGCCTGAACATTGATTCTAAGCAAACTGTTTTATCATCTATTTCATAACTTCATAAATCATATATTGCTATATTGTATGTGACTATTCTTGATAAATTTGTTGTAAATAAAATGTTTAATATTAATCAATCATTGACTAGCTACTTATAAAAATATGAATAAAAAAATATAAAAATGTATACATTCAATTAAATAACCTATTTTGCTATTTTGTATTATTTGTTATAAATGCAAATTGAATACTTCTCATTTGAAATTGAATGACTAGGGTTTAAGTGAAAAATAAATTGAATGCCGACATTTACACTAAATAATGATTTAAAATGTATTTATTTTCTTTTATATCTATTTAACACTTGTTAAAAAAAAAATCTATATTTATCACATCTAAACAAATCTAAACTCCTGTAGTATTTTATCTATCTTCTTTCTGACATCTAATCATTCATTTTGATGATAATATTTTGATATAAATAAATAATGATAAACTAATATTAGTTTCAACAATTTTAGACAGTTTATAAATTTTCAACTTATATAATGTTTGTTTGCTTTGCATCAATTTTTTATGATCCATTAACTTTTATTCCAAAACTCTTAGTCTAAATTCAAATTTAAATAAATTCAATATGTAAAATGTATATTTATGAGAATAATATATACCATGTCAAAATGAAAATTTTATTCAAATATTTGTACTTGTTGCCCATATGTCCAATTAATCAGATTTTACTCTTTCAGACACAAGGTTTAAGTGTTAAAGTTTTAATAAATAACAATAACATTTAAAAAATTGTTTGAAAACTAAAATATGCAAAGTTATTCTATAAAAATTCTATAACTTATTTTCTTATCTACAATTTTATGATAAAGTTAAATGGCTTCAAATATATTAAGAAATATAATTTAATGACTTCCAAAATTCATACTTGAGTGAGAAAATTTGGTTGAAATATACTACTAACAATACATAATTTAAATACTAATTGTTTTTGCTAACTGCTTTAATTATTTATAATAACAGAACGAAAGACAGAAGTACATAGAGATGGCAAATTTCATCAATAAGCAACAGGCAATGCCAAGAGAGATGTCTTGAAGGTAGGTTAATATACTACAGGTTAATATTATTTGCAAAGAAAGAAAATAAAAAACATAAAACATAATGAAGATTATTTTTAATTATAGACTACATATTATTGTTTTGTCATACACTCATTCACAAAAAGTTACACAGCCAGATAGAATTGTCCAAAAGTGCAAAATTTGACACACAGCTGTCTCAGACAGACAGGTACATAAATGTGTACAGTTATGATATGACTATACCTGGTAATACCACTAGAATGCCTTAAAATTATTACCCCAATATCCTATAAAAAGGGTTGCATAGGCTCACTGTGTTTAGGAGTTTCAATGTATCCATTGTTTGGAGGTCTTTGAATGCTATGTATGTCTGTATGATGTAATCAGACATTATGCACAGCTGACAGTTTGAGAAAGGCCACATCATCAGGCTGAGCGAAGCAGGTTGTTTTTGCCAAATTGCTCACTATATGGGCTGTTCCGATCTGATTGTATTGGGTTATTCGGAAAGTAAGTTTTTTTTTTACCACTAGATGGATTAGTCGTATTTTTCCCATCATTTTTATTCTAAACCATATTATCATTATATATTTTGACAGGTAGTATTTTAAGGCTTTATTTGTAAAGAATTTTGTTTGATTCTGTGCAATTGTTTTATGTTTTGCGTCCCATCAAATATTGAAGATTGAAAGCATCATTTTTGGCATATTTTGCTTTTTTTTTAACCTAAAAATTAAAATGCTGTTCAAGCAAGAAAAAAATTGTGGTACATGTATGGAGATGATGTGTTAAGAGAAAGACAGCGCCAAAACTGGTTTACAAAATTTCGTTCTGGCAGTTTCAATATTGAAGATGCACCACGTTCTGGATGGCCAATTGAAGCCAATGAAAACAAAATAAAGGTACTGATTGAAGCAAACTACCAAATAACAACACGTGAAATCACTAAGAGATTAAATTTGTCAAATTGAACTGTTTATGATTACTTGAAACAAATTGGTTTCATTTCAAAGCTCGATATATGGGTTCCACATGTTCTTAAAGAGAGATGCTCTCTTTGGTGGGACTTTAAGAAATTTTTTTTTTCTGGAGCTTTTACCAGACAATTTAACAATTGATTCGAAAGTGTACTGCCATCGAGTAAACAAATTGAGTAATATAAAGCAGAAAAGGCCAGAATTGATCAACAAAAAAGGTGTAGTGTTTTACCATGATAATGTCAAATTTCACACAAATTTGTTAACTGGTCAGAAACTGTTATAACTTAGATGGGATGTGCTATCACACCAACCATATTCGCCAGATCAAGCACACTTTCTTGTTCTGGTCTATACAAATTTTTTTTAACTGTAAGACATTTACTTGAAATGACAATGTCAAAAATCACTTCGATCAGTTTTTTGTAAGCAACAATAAAAACTTTTATGAATGTGAAATCGTGCTACTACCAGAAACGATGACAACAGTTATTTGACCAAAATGGTCGATATATAATTCAATAAAATATTTATTTATTATAAAAATGTTGTTTTTCTTCCATGGAAAAAAAAATGAACTTACTTTCCGAGCAACCCAATATAAATGTATATTTCAGNAAGTTTAAAAAGTAAATTATATATAACAGAAGAAGACATCAAACATATAAAAAGAGAAGATAATAGGACACCAAAATTCAATATACGGGTAAACACACATAAAAATCCTATTAAATATAGACCTTTAATAGACGTTAAAAATTATATATATTATAACTTAGAAAAATTTTTAAAAAATAAATCATATTTGTTACAGGAATCTAAATATAGTATTAAAAATGTGGATGAGTTGTTAAAAAGTTTACAAAATATTAAAATTGATAAATATAAGAATTTAATATCACTTTAAATTTATTACAGGTATCTAAATATAGTATTAAAATGTGGATGATTNCAGAACCTTTCCTCATTTCATACCATTGGCAGGTGATTAGCAGAGATAAATTTGCATGTTTGGTGAATGCTATGCATCCTATATACCAGGGTTAGCCAACTTTTGTGTACATAAGATTTACTTTTTATCTTAAAAATGTGTCGCAATTGACTTGTTATCGTAGGCATAGTCTAAATGGCGAGGGAGAGGTGTGAAATACATACTATGTTTAGATAGGTAAGAAAAGCCAAAATTTAATTTAAAACATGAAGAAAAGGTACTTACATTTTAAACAGAAGAAAAATTGATACTCAATGTTGTCACTTTCAGGGACTATCACTTCACCCTTCCTCTCTCTACCATGTCCTGACCTACTCTTTCTGTCCTCTTTTTTTTGGTTTTATAAACCTTTGTCTACATTTCTTATTCCCCTTTTACAACTGTATGCAAATGGATTGTGCGTGGACTGACAAATCAGACCTCTGCATCCTCCCTCAGATGTGGTTATCACTACACTTGCATTCGGTTACAAGTGTAATACATTAAGTCAAGACATCACAAGTGATCGACCAAAATTGGCTTTACGATNCACTTTTTTGCCTGTGGGCATTAAGAAAATCTTTCTAATCGTGCACAACATTGGTTTGGCCAGGCATACAATTGAGGCATTGATGAGGGATGGCCCGACGCATCCAAGACAGATTCACGGGAATTGTTCGTCCGCCGCTCATCCATTTTGAAAAAATTACAGAAATTTCTCTTATTACTGTATTTTGAAATTTTCTAGCAAAATAATTTGACGAATCGTTTAACATGTCGAATGAATTATTGTTTGTAAACTAGTTCGTATTGCTTTTAAATCTGTGTCATCTCTGTTATCATTGTCATATATATATATATATATGACTGTTATCATTACAGACAGAGTATGACAGAGTATATATAGACAGAGTATGACAGAGTATACTCTTTTCGCCCTGTGGGCACTAAGAGGGCCTCTTATAACAGGCCCATTATGGGTTCGGCCAGGCCCACAATGGGGCGACCGGGTGGTGAGGGACGGGGTCCGACATATCCGTACGGACCACCCCCCAAAAATTCCTGGGGATTTTTCGACCCGTTCGGATTCGATCCCGGGTCCCCTAGAGCAGTAGGCTGCCACCTTGACCGCTCGGCCATTCGGCCAGTATCATTGTCAGATTATGATTAATTAGCCATAATCCGATAGTCTTTTAAATTTGTTCTTATATATTTTCAATATAACATCATAAATGAAATTAAAATAAATTTCATTCATTTTCAACTAATATTAATAAGAACTTTTTAAAATTTAAATTAAAAACAGTATTAATATAAAAATAATCGTAGATATTTTATATAAATTATTTTAAAATCGATTAAACCTATTTTATTTGAAATTTACCCTTAAACATAATAATACATCGGTAGAGAGAGAGAGAGAGGTATACGTAAACATAGAGAGTCGTGATGTCTATGAATCAACCGTTCGATTATTATTGCAGGTGGTGCAGGACGGTATAACGGTAAATATTTGCCCCGGTTTGTCATTTATACTCTACAAGATTTAAATTATATTTAGTTAATTATTATTAATAATAATTAAATAATTATTTAAATTACTTGTCTTCTTTATTATTACAGTACTTTTAAATGTATAAGCGTAACGTATAAAGCCGGCTTCTTAGATTTATCCGCAGTGTTTTGGCGCGTTCCATTGATGTCGTCTGCCTACCTGCTTTTTTATAAATCATTTTTTCCCTATTAAAAAAAAATACGTTATAAAACACCTGATTAATATGAATTATTTCTCTCCTGACATTTTCTAATATTATAACAATTGCATTTTTTTATTTTCATACACATGTAAATTGTAAAATGCCTTTATCAACTTGTCAATTTCTATGTGAAATTGACATGTTTCTATAATTATTCAATATCTTTGGATGAATTAAACTTCAAAAATTACCGATTCGGCATGGTTTTTAGTTGAAAATCTTGTTTACTTTTTAATTTTCCGTTGAAATTTACATAAAATTGATCAGTTTATATAATTATTTTATATTTTAAATCAATTTAAATGTTGAAAATTCCTGAATGGTTTTGGTTTTAGTTGGAATAATGTTTTTTTTTTTTTCCCCTTCAATATTTCAAAATTCTCTATAGAAATTACATGAAATTTTTAAATATATATATAAAGTAGACATGTTTCTATAATTGTACTAAAATAAATGGTTTCATATACCTAAAAATGCCACATTACAACTTTAAGTCCTGTTTATTTTTTGTATGATTTTAATATTTCAAATTGTTTTTTTTTTGGTAGAAATTTCTATTTTTAATATATGAAGTAGATAAGTTTCTATAATTATTTCATATTTTAAATGTTAAAAATTTCTGATTTGGTATCAGTTTTAGTTGAAATGTTTTTTTCTTTTGACATTTCAAATTTTCTATAGAAATTGGGAGATTTTTTTTATGTATGAAGTAGACGTATATCTTCTATAATAATTCCATTAAAATATTTTAAATGGTTTCATAAAGCTCTAATGTGACATTTTTAAGTATAAGTCCTGTTTATTTTTTGTATGATTTTAATATTTCAAAATTTTCTTATACAATTCAAAATGTTTGTTTTTTAATATATCAAATAGATAAGTTTCTATAATTATTTTAATGTTTTAGCAAAATTAAGCTTAAAAATTTTTGTTTTGAAATAATTTCTAGTTTTAAATTCTGTTTATATCTTTATAATTATAATATTTCAGACCTATGTATATATATTACATAAAATAGATGATATCAGCTAAAAATGTAATATGTTTTTTTATTTTATATTGTAAGTATAGAAATTTTGCTTTTGAAATTGATTTAGTTATAGATTTAGATGAATCATATGGATTTTTATTGAATTATTTCAATGGGATTATCATAATTTTATAACATTTAATTT